CCATGGTGTATATGTACCATAGCTTCCTTATCCATTCGTCTGCTGATGGGCATCTAGGTTGCTTCCATGTCCTGGCTATTATAAATAGTGCTGAGATGAACACTGGGGTACACGTGTCTCTTTCAGATCTGGTTTCCTCAGTATATATGCCCAGGAGTGGGATTTCTGGGTCATATGGCAGTTCTATTTCCAGTTTATTAAGAAATCTCCACACTGTTCTCCACAGCGGCTGTACTAGTTTGCATTCCCACCAACAGTGTAAAAGGGTTCCCTTTCTCCACACCCTCTCCAGCATTTATTGCTTGTAGACTTTTGGATAGCAGCCATCCTGACTGGCGTGTAATAGTACCTCATTGTGGTTTTGATTTGCATTTCTCTGATAATGAGTGATGTTGAGCATCTTTTCATGTGTTTGTTAGCCATCTGTATGTCTTCTTTGGAGAAATGTCTGTTTAGTTCTTTGGCCCATTTTTTGATTGGGTCACTAATTTTTCTGGAATTGAGTTGCAGGAGTTGCTTGTATATTTTTGAGATTAATCCTTTGTCTGTTGCTTCGTTTGCTATTATTTTCTCCCATTCTGAAGGCTGTCTTTTCACGTTGCTTATAGTTTCCTTTGTTGTGCAAAAGCTTTTAAGTTTCATTAGGTCCCGTTTGTTTATTTTTGCTTTTATTTCCAATATTCTGGGAGGTGGGTATAGAGGATCCTGCTGTGATTTATGTCAGAGAGTGTTTTGCCTATGTTCTCCTCTAAGAGTTTTATAGTTTCTGGTCTTACATTTAGATCTTTAATCCATTTTGAGTTTATTTTTGTATATGGTGTTAGAGAGTGTTCTAGTTTCATTCTTTTACAAGTGGTTGACCAGTTTTTCCAGGACCACTTGTTAAAGAGGTTGTCTTTTTTCCATTTTATATCCTTGCCTCCTTTGTCAAAGGTAATGTGCCCATAGGTACATGGATTTATCTCTGGGCTTTCTATTTTGTTCCATTGATCTATATTTCTGTCTTTGTGCCAGTACCATACTGTCTTGATGACTGTGGCTTTGTAGTAGAGGCTGAAGTCAGGCAGGTTGATTCCTCCAGTTCCATTCTTCTTTCTCAAGATCCAAAGCATTTTTCTAATTTATCTTGTGATTTCTCCTTTGACATTATTTGTCTATAGAGTTCGTTGTTTAATTTCCACACATTCCAATATGGTGAAATTTCTGAATTTCCTTCTGTTACTGACTTATAGTTTCATTTCACTGTAGTGAGGGTAGTTTATATGATTTCAATCATTTTAAGTTTATTGAGAATTATTTATGTCCTAACTATGATGTATCCCGGAGAATGTTCCATGTACACTTTGGGTATATGGAAATGCTGTTGGGTAGATATCTGTTAGATACAGTTGGTTTACAGTGTTGTTCATTCAAGTCTTCTATTTCTTTGTGTATCTTTTGTCTAGTTATTCTATCCACTATTGAAAATGAAGTGTTGATGGCTTCAACTATTATTGTTGAACTCTTTATTTCTCCCTCAATTCTGTCAGTTTTTGGTTCATACACTTTGGGGCTCTCTTATTAGATGTACATGTTTATAATTGTTATATCTTCTTGATAAATTGAACTTTTGTCATTATGTAATGTCAAACTTTGTCTTGTAAAAATTTTTGTCTTAAAGTCTATTTTGTCTGGTATTAGTTTAACCACTCCATCTCTCTTTGGTTACTGTTTGCATGGAATATTTTTTTCCTCACTTTCACTTTGTACTTGTGTCTTTGAATCTAAAGAACCTCTTGTAGATAGCATATAGTTGGACTACTTTTTTTCCCTATCCATTCTGCTAATCAATGCCTCTTAACTCAAGAGCTTAATCTATTTACCTTTAAGTAATTTGTGATAAGGAAGAAACTGTTTTCTCCATTTTCCTATTTGTTTTCTATATATTCTGCCTTTTTTGTTGTTATTGTTCTCTTTCCCTGAATTATTGCCTTCTTTCGTGTTAGATATTTTCTAGTATATCATTTTGATTCCCGTATTTCTTTTTATCATATTTTTTATTTTAGTGGTTAACAGTTAACAATTACATTTAACAACTTACAAAAACCAAGAATGAATTAATAATAATTAAGTTTCAACAGTACACAAAACTTTGCTCCTATATAGCTCCTCCCCCCTTATGTTGTTATGGTCACAAATTGCAACTATATAAACTGTACATCCATCAACATAGATTTACAAAGACTGTTTTACACAGCTGTCTTTTAAATCATATAGATAAAAGGAACTTTGAACCAAAAAAAAATTAATATTGACTTTATTTGCCTATGTAGTTACACTTCTGGTGTTCTTTACTGCTTTGTGTAGACTCAAGACTCTCTAGTATCATTTTATTTCAGCCTGAAGGCCTCCTTGTAGCATCTCCTGTAGGAGAAGCTCAGGTCTACTAGCACTAAACTCTGTTTTTGTTTATCTGGGAATGTCTTCTCCTTTTTTTTTTTTTTTTGAAGGAATGGGTTGCTGGACACAGAATCCTGAGCTAACAGGTTTTTTCTTCCTGAACTTTAACCATATTATCCCACTGCCTTATATGGTTTCTGATGAGAAATCAGCTGTTAATCTTTTTTAGGATTACTTATACATGATGAGTTGCTTCTCTCTTGCTTCTTTCAGGTATCTGCCCTTATCTCTGGCTTTTGAAAGCTTGATTATAATGTATCTCATGTGGGTATCTTTGAGTATGTCTTCTGTGGAGTGCATTGAGCTTCTTTGATATGTAGATCCATACGTTTCATCAAATTTTGGATCTTTTCAGCCAGTATTTCTTCAAATAGTCTTTTTTGCCTCTTTCTACCGTTCTGGGATTCCATTATGCATAGGTAAGTATGTTTAACAGTGTCCCACAGGTTTCTTAAGCTCTGTTCTCTTTGCTTCATTCTTTTATTTTTGACCAAAATCAAGTTTGCTGATTCCTTCTTCTGCCTGTTTAGATCTGCTGCTGAACCCCAATAGGAAATTTTAAATTTCAGTTAAACTTTTCAGCTCTAGAATTTCTATTTAGCTTTTATTATTTCTAACTCTTTACTGATATTCTCTAATCCGAGACAGATTCTCATAGTTTCCTTTAGTTCTTCGTATATGGCTTCCTTTACCTCCTTGAGCACATTTTAAATAGTTGATTTAAAGTTTTTGTCTAGAAAGTCCAAAGTCCGGGCTTCCTCAAGGACAGTTTCTACTCATTTCCTTCTTGTCTCTGTGAAAGGCATATTTTGCTGCTTTGTATGTCTTATAATTTTTTTGTTGAAAACTGGAAATTTAAAATATTATAATCTAGCAACTCTAGAAATCAGATTTCCTCTCCTCCCCAGGGATTGTTGTTGCTGTTTATAGTCATTTGTTTAATAACTTCTGAACTGATTTTGTAGTTTATATTCTCTATCATGAGTGACTAGTGCAGTCTCTGCTCTTTTAGCATAATGGTTAGTTAGTGACTTGATAGAGATTGCCCTAAACCCCTGAAACCAAAAAACAAGTCTTTGTAGATGGGTTCTGTGTGTGTATGGGGGCATACCTTAAACATTCAGTCAGGCAGTTTACAACTCTGCCTTAGCTTTCACTTTCTGTTTGTGCAGAACCTGCAAGTTAGACAGATGTGAAAACTTAGGGCCTTAAGTCTTTTCTGATCAAGTGCCTACACCTGGGCATGTGTGTAGCTGCTGAGATTCCTAGGAATATGTGGAAGCTTTTAAAAACCTTTATTTCCCAGTTTCTCAATCCTCAGCCTTTCCTCCCAAGCTTTCTAATTTGTCTATTGCTTGTCTGTTGTTACCCCTTGCTCCTGGCAGCAGGCCTTAGTACATTTGCCTTTAAATATTTTCAACAAATGCCAGCCCACGCACCCCACTAACTGCACCCCCTCCACCCAGGATAGCTGTGTCAGTGCTAGGAGAGTTTCAGATTAACCAAAGTAAAAAAAGCAAGCCCTTAGAGCTGGTCCTTCATGGGTTCATCAGACCAGTCAGATCATCAAACCACAGTTCTTTGAGAATATGATCCAGTCTGCATCCTTTGATAGACAGAATTATACCCAGAAGCGTGACTGTTGTCTTTAATGCTACCACTGAGTTAGCGGGTGGAGGATGGGGTTAGTGTAAGTTAAAACACGAAAAATAAATAAATAAAGCTCTCTTAAAGAAATTCAGTTATTTCTTAAAATTGATAAAGCATTCTCCAGGTTGCAATAAACTTTTGATTAGTTTTCAGAGTCTCAATAAACTTGATTCACTGCTTGTTGAGTTCCCTACACTGCCATTTTTGTTCTACCTTGGGTTAAGTCTTCTTAGTAAGAACTAATATACCTGCGGTAGGGGAGAAAGGAGGAGTATGGGGACAATGCTAAATTCATATTATTCAGGAGGCATTCCTTGATTAATCCCAACTAGGCCCATTTTTTACTCTTGGCATTTATTTAATATTAGATCAATATTTATTGATCTGTATTATTTAAATATTAAGTTCACTTACACTTTTTAAAATATAAAGTTGATAGAAGGAACTTTAAAAAAATATATGCTGCTAACATTAAAAATAATAAGGTTAGAGCCATGTTTTTCTTATTTTGAATTCCCTTCCCAATCCTCCAATCCTACTAGCAACTACAGGTCTCAGGACTGAATGAATGCTTTCAGTGAATGACATAAATGAAAAACAAAATTAAAATGGGTGGCATAGTGTTTTAGTACTCTAACTATCAAGTATTATCATCAATTAGATCAGTACTCTCCCTTTTGAAAAATATTTCCACATAATTTCTATTCCAAAGCATAGAAGATAAGTTTACAATTTCAGAAGCAAAAAACAAATGTCAATGAGCACTGCAAATTTTGTCCCTAGTATGCAAAAAGAGAAAGGTGACTACTAATGACTCCAAATGTCTTAGGGATAGAAAAAAGGAAACAAATCATTTGCCTGGGTTTCCTTCAAAACAAACTTATTTGCCATATATTATAGTTCAAACTTACTCATTGTTTAATTCTAAAGCTTGATAGGCTGCTTTGATTCGAGCTGGAGGATTCCTTTCTCTCCATGCCTTCTGCATAACTGAAGGAAAAACATTTCAAAAAGTAGATGAGATGGCAAACATAAATTATCTTATGCAAAACATACAAACAATGATTTAGAAGAATAAACAAAGATTTAAATAACATATTCTTAAACATAAACAACAAACTGGGGTGATGGCTCACATTAACCTTATGAAAAGTTTACACTAAATTTGGAAGCTTCACATAAAATAGAAATTAAAATATTATTTCTCTGATTTATATGAATAATAACATAGTTGATAATCAAGTTAACTATATCATTATTATACATGAACAGTTATACATCTAAATATATATTAAAATTGACATCAGATTATAATTAATGAAATATTCTTGTTCTTTTATCCTCTTGGAAAGGTTCTATGGAACTGTTAAAAATACATGAAAACCTTAGAAATCAAAGTTTTTATCTAATCAGAGATTCAGTCCACAAAGAATGCTTGAATTTGTATTTTATATTAAAGGGGGGGAAGGAATTAATTTAGGATATAGTACATTTATGGAAAATATGAGTCTACTAAGAGTCAAGAAAAGCCTGAATTAGGATCTCTCTGAAATAACAATATTAGTTTTGTTATCATTTATTATACCAAATTGAAAATTTCACATTAAGCAAAGTTTCTTTAAAATTAAACAAATAAATAAACAAAGAAGATCCATGAAACTATCTGGCCTATTTCAAGTTTGATAACAAAAATAGAGAATCTATGACTGTTGCTTTTGGAAGGAAACCTACAACTGTCCAGAAAGAATAATGTGGAAAACGTTTGAGTTTTCCTTCGGAAACAAAATATTAGTCTTGGCTTAGAAAAGGAGACAATATATTCTACTTGTGTAACAAAAATACATCTCTCATATCAAACATGTCACTAGCTAGCTGACAGCTAATGCTTCCTGAACTTGACAAATTGATGCAAGTCAGCACCCATATGATAATAACCAGGTAAAGAATAGCATTTTGCTAAAACATTAAAATATTACCTAAAAATCAAATATAATACTTAATTTGCCCATTTTTGATGATGAGGCTCTCTTCCATAAGTTACATGATATTTTCAGCTCCAATTCTGACACCGAATTTTATTAACAATTTAAATGGTTATCTGGTACTCTAGCATATTAAGTATACATAGTAATTTATTTAACCAGTTCTCTTTTGATGGATAATTAATTTTTTGCTAATATAAAAATACTATGATAACCATCTTTTAACATCTATCTTTGTATACCTGGCCAAATATTCAATTTTTAGAAGTGGAATGGTTAAAAACATATGCATCTTTTAAAAGACTTTGGATATATATTCCCAAATTCCTCTCAATGAGATTGTATTAATTCACATTTTTTCAGGCAGTGCAGGAGAGTGACTATTTCCCCATTTCCTTAACAACACTGAGCAGTGTCAATCTTTGCTAATTTAATACATGAAAACTATCTCACTTTCATTTGTATTTCTTCTATTTCTAGTAAAGTCATCTAATCTACCATTAAGCATTTTTTGTTATTCATATGTTTTCAAATGCTCTATCCAGCCTTATTATCCCTCATAACCAATGCACTTCTAAGCTAAAGAGGAAATGGGAAATAAAGTAGAGGAAGGAAAATATTTACTTCCCTCTAAAACAAGGTTTAGAAATCATTTAGTATTCAACAGTTGATTGAGTATTTAACTGATGATTTATTATAGTCTTCAAAGGTTCTCTATAAGAATTCATGATTTGCTTAAGAATAACACAAGCAGTTAACAATTCAATCAAATTTATCTATTTTTCAAGGTAAATGCTATTCTAATATGCTAACAAGCAGAAGGAACTAACTACCATTCAATCTAAGACCAGAGGTCAGAAATATAAATGCCTTGAGACCTTGCAGAACTAAAAGCACATGCACTGTCTAAAAGAGAGAATCACAGTTCAGGTCTAACTGATTACTGCCAAGTGGAAACGTGGGTCCACATTTTCCAACTTAAATTGTAAATCTGGAGTTTAATGTTAAATAATCTTTTGATTATGTCTGTTCACTATCCTAAATAAACAAATCAATAGAGTAAGAACAAAAATCTACTAATTTAGTAATTACTAATGACAACAGTTAAGAGAAATTTGTCACATCACACATATAGACACACTTTTCTATTTTTAATATAAAACTACAGACATAAATCTTATATTTATATGAGTATCTGTAAAGATCAATGTGGAACCAATAGTCCATTTCTGGATTATCATTCATGGATAAAGTCTAGTTCAGTCTTAAACTGGGATTTTGCATACCTCTAGAAGTACTACATAAAACTCTGTAATGACCAAAATGGGACACATAATTCTAAGAGAATCAACCTCTAAAGCTTCAACTTTATATGACTCTTTCCTGTGTCTGATCTAATTGAAGAATGTTGCTCTGATTAGTCTGTGTTACACTGGTTTCTCTTTCCTACTCAACACAGGCTCCTTGCCTCACCCTGCTCCCTTAAAGGTATATTACCTATTCCTATTTCATAAAAGAAAAGCTTACTTTTCACCCATCCTGAATCATTCCAAGGTGCATTGCCCTAGAGGGTAAAAATGTCAGGTGCCTCAGGAACAAGTTAAAGTCTGGGTTTTGGAGCAACCGTTTTTAATCAAGAAACCTATAGTAGAGATTTGTGCCATTCTCTTATTTAACAGGGAAGTTCAGTATTAGAAATACAAGGGGCTACCCTCATGGTGGCAACCCACTCCAGTACTCTTGCCTAGAATATCCCATGGACGGAGGAGCCTGGTGTCCATGGGGTCGCAAAGAGTCGGACACGACTGAGAGACTTCACTTTCACTTTCTTTGACCCTCATGGCTCAGCTGGTAAAGAACCCACCTGCCAATGCAGAAATAGAGTACTCTGGCTGCTGGAAGTTCTGAATTCAAGTATATTTAGAGTGGAGAGGGAGTAATAATTTTTGCCAGTTCCATTTATCAGCACCCTTTCTCCCCTTACTATCAAGCATGCACTGTCCCTAAGGGAAGGTTCTCTCATAGTAAGGCAAAGAAAGCATTGCTGCTGCTGCTGCTGCTAAATCGCTTCAGTCGTGTTCGACTCTATGCAACCCCATAGACGGCAGCCCACCAGGCTCCCCAGTCCCTGGGATTCTCCAGGCAAGAACACTGGAGTGGGTTGCCATGTCCTTCTCCAAGGCATGAAAGTGAAAAGTGAAAGTGAAGTCGCTCAGCCGTGTCCAACTCTTAGCGACCCCATGGACTGCAGACTACTAGGCTCCTCCGCCCATGGGATTTTCCAGGCAAGAGTACTGGAGTGGGTTGCCATTTCCTTCTCACACTGTGAGTGAAAGTGAAATTGCTCAGTCATGTCTGACTCTTTGCGACCCCATGGGCTGTAGCCTACCAGGCTTTTCCATCCATGGGATTTTCCAGGCAAGGGTACTGGAGTGGGTTGCCATTTCCTTCTCCAAAAGAAAGCATTAGTAAGGGATAGTAAAGGCAGTGGAATCTTGTTTTGGCCAAGTGATAAGCTTAAGGCAAGGCTCCAAGACTTACCTATCTTTTCATCTTAGAATCTGAATTCAGAAGAGAGATGGTTGTCATAGGGATGAATGCTAACATGGCTATTTGAATTTAAAAAATGAAGTAAAAAAAAAAAAATGAAGTCAGACTTCTCTGTCACAAAGTATGTCTGATTTGGTTGACAGGAATAACAGTGAGAACTTACCCAGCCCAATAGGTTATATGGAGGACCTTTTTCAAAGCTGGAAGAGCCAAATACGTAGCTCTAAGGATTTGACAAAAATATAAAGTACAAGATTCCATTTAGAACTATATGATCAAAAGAAACTTACATTTTTAACAAAAAATTACACAAAACTGTTCAAGACTGGGGGAAACAGAGACTCTTGGAGGGCACAAACAAAATCTTGTGCACACCAGAACCCAGGGGAAAGGAGCAGTGACCTCACAAGACTGAGGCAGACCTGCCTGTCAGAGTTTGAGAGTCTCCTGCAGAGGCATAGGTCAGAAGTGGCCTACTGAGGGGATGGGGCACTGGCAGCAGCAGCTCTGGGAGGGGTGTGTTGGCATAAGTCCTTTTTGAAGGTTGCCAGTAGCCCTACTTTTGAAGAAAGTAAGGAAAACCACTAGACCATTCAGGGTCGACCTAAATCAAATCCCTTATGATTATACAATGGAAGTGATGAATAGATTTAAGGGACTAGATCTGATAGAAAGAGTGCCTGATGAACTATGGATGTAGGTTCATGACATTGTACAGGAGACAGGGATCAAGACTATCTCCAAGAAAAAGAAATGCAAAAAAGCAAAATGGCTGTCTGAGGAGGTCTTACAAACAGCTGTGAAAAGAACTGAAGTGAAAAGCAAAGCAGAAATAGAAAGATATACCCACTTGAATGCAGAGTTCCAAGAACAGCAAGGAGAGATAAGAAAGCTTTCCTCAGTCATCAATGCAAAGAAATAGAGGAAAACAATAGAATGGGAAAGACTAGAGATCTCTTCAAGAAAATTAGAGATACGTAGGGAACTTTTCATTTGAAGATGGGCACAAAAAGGACAGAAATGATATGGACATAACAGAAGCAAGAGATATTAAGAAGAGGTGGCAAGAATACAGAGAACTATACAAAAAAGATCTTCACGACCCAGATAATCACGATGGTGTGATCACTCACCTAGAGCCAGATATCCTGGCATGCAAAGTCAAGTGGGCCTTAGGAAGCATCACTACGAACAAAACTAGCGGAGGTAATGGAATTCCAGTTGAGCTATTTCAAATCCTAAAAGATGATGCTGTGAAAGTGCTGCACTCAATATGCCAGCAAATTTGGAAAACTCAGCAGTGGCCATGGGACTGGAAAAGGTCAGTTTTCATTCCAATCCCAAAGAAAGGCAATGCCAAAGAATGCTCAAACAACCGCACAATTGCACTCATCTCACACACCAGTAAAGTAATGCTTCAAGACAGGCTTCAGCAATTTGTGAATCGTGAACTTCCAGTTGTTCAAGCTGGTTTTAGAAAAGGCAGAGGAACCAGAGATCAAACTGCCAATATCCGCTGGATCATCGAAAAAGTAAGAGAGTTCCAGAAAACCATCTATTTCTGCTTTACTGACGATGCCAAAGCCTTTGACTGTGTGAATCACCACAAACTGTAGAAAATTCTGAAAGAGATAGGAATACCAGACCACCTGACCTGCCTCTTGAGAAATCTATATGCAAGTCAGGAAACAACAGTTAGAACGGGACATGGAACAACAGACTGGATCCAAATAGGAAAAGGAGTACGTCAAGACTGTATATTGTCACCCTGCTTATTTAACTTATATGCAGAGTACATCATGAAAAACGCTGGGCTGGATGAAGCACAAGCTGGAATCAAGATTGCCAGGAGAAATATCAATAACCTCAGATATGCAGATGACACCACCCTTACAGCAGAAAGTGAAGAAGAACTGAAGAGCCTCTTGATGAAAGTGAAAGAGGAAAGTGAAAAAGTTGGCTTAAAGCTCAACATTCAGAAAACTAAGATCATGGCATCTGGTCCCATCACTTCATGGCAAATAGATGGGGAAACAATGGAAACAGTGTCAGATTTTTTTTTTTTTGGTCTGCAAAATTACTGCAGATTGTGACTGCAGCCAAGAAATTAAAAGACACTTACTCCTTGGAAGAAAAGTTATGACCAACCTAGACAGCATGTTAAAAAGCAGAGACATTACTTTGCCGACAAAGGTCCATCTAGTCAAGGCTATGGTTTTTCCATTAGTTATGTATGGATGTGAGAGTTTGACTATAAAGAAAGTTGAGTGCCAAAGAATTGATGCTTTCAAACTGTGGTGCTGGAGAAGACTCTTGAGAGTCCTCTGGACTGCAAGGAGATCCAACCAGTCCATCCTAAAGGAAATCAGTCCTGAATATTCATTGGAAGGTCTGATGTTGAAGCTGAAACTCCAATACTTTGGCAACCTGATGCAAAGAACTGACTCATTTGAAAAGACCCTGGGGCTGGGAAAGATTGAAGGCGGAAGGAGAAGGGGACGACAGAGGACGAGATGGTTGGATGGCGTCACCGACTCAATGGACATGAGTTTGAGTCAACTCCGGGAGTTGGTGACAGACAGGGAGGCCTGGCATGCTGCAGTCCATGGGGTCGCAAAGAGTCAGACACGAATGAGCGACTAAACTTAACTGAACTGAGCAGCTCTACCATACAGCCTGTTGACTTCAGGAAGTGGTTGCCTCAGGCCAAACAACTAACAGGGAGGGAGCAGCTCCTTATTGCAAAATTCAGGCTTAAATTGAAAAAAAAATAGGGAAAACCACTAGGCCATTCAGGTATGATCTAAATCAAATCCCTTATGATTATACACTGCTCAGTCATGTCTGACTTCTTTGCTACCTCATGGACTGTAGCCTGCCAGGCTCCCACCAGCAGAAAATTGGATTAAAGATTTACTGAGCAAGGCCCTGCCCACTAGAGAAAGACCGAGTTTCCCCACAGCTAGTCCCTCCCATCAGGAAGCTTGCACAAGCCTCTTACCTTCAGCCATCAGAGGGCAGACAGAAGAAACAAGAACTAGAATCCCATAGTCTCCAAAATAAAAACCACAATCACAGAAAGCTAACCAAAGTGATCATATGGATCACAGCCTTGTATAACTCAATGCAGCTATGACCCATGCCATGCAGGGCCACCCAAGACAGACAGGTCATGGTGAAGAGTTCTGACAAAATGTGGTCCACTGGAGAAGGGAATGGCAAACTACTTCAGCATTCTTGTGTTGAGAATCCCATTAACATCATGAAAAGGCAAAAAGATATGACACCAGAAGATGAGCCCCCCAGGTCGACAGGTGTCCAATATGCTACAGGGGAAGAGCAGAATAACAGCTCCAGAAAGAAAGAAGAGACTGGGCCAAAGTGGAAATGACGTGCAGCTGTGGATGTGTCTAGTGGTGAAAGTAAAGTCTGATTCTGTAAAGAACAATACTGCATAGGAGCATGGAAGATTAGGTTCATGAATCAAGGTAAATGAGACATAGTCAAGAAGGTAATGACAAAGTGAACATCAACATCTTAGAAATCAGTGAACTAAAATGGACGAGAATGGGAAAATTTAATTCAGATGACCATTATATCTACTACTGTGTGCAAGAACCTCTTAGAAAAAATGGAGTAGGCATCATAATCAACAAGAGTCCGAAATGCTATATTTGGATGCAATCTCAAAAATGACAGAATGATCTTGGTTCATTTCCAAGGCAAACCACTCCACATCACAGTAATCCAAGACTATGCCTTAAACACTAAAGATGAAGAAGCTGAAATTGACTGGTTCTATGAAGACCTACAAGACCTTCTAGAACTAACACCAAAAAAAAAATGTCCTTTTCATTATATGGGATTGGAATACAAAAGTAGAAAGTCAGGAGATATCTGGAGTAACTGGCAAGTGTGGTCTTGAGTATAAAATGAAGCAGAGCAAAGGTTAACAGGGTTTTGTCAAGAAACTGCACTGGTCATAGCAAACAGTCTTTCAACACACAAAAGACAACTCTACACATGCATATCATCAGATGGTCAATACCGAACTTAAACTGATTATATTCTTTGCAACCAAAGGTGAAGCAGCTCTATACAGTCAGCAAAACAAGACCTGGAGCTAACTGTGGCTCAGATCATCAGCTCCTTACTGAAAAATTCAGGCTTACATTGAAGAAAATAGGGAAACCACATAACCATTCAGGTTATGATTAGATACAATGCTCAGTCATGTCTGACTCTTTGCTACCTCATGGACTGTAACCTTCCAGGCTCCTCTGTCCATGGGATCTTCCAGGCAAGAATACTGGACTGGATTGCCATTTCCTTCTCCACCTGGATCTTCCCAATCCTGGTGTCGAACCTGGGTCTCTTGTGTCTGCTGCACTGCAGATGGATACTTTACCTCTGAGCCAGAGGGGAAGCCCCAGTGAAAGTGACAAACAGAGCCAAGGGATTAGATCTGGTAGACAATAATACCTGAAGAACTACGGACAGAGGTTCATAACACTGTACAGGACGTGGTGACCAAAACCAACCCCAAGAAAAAGAAATGCAAAAAGGCAAAGTGGTTGTCTGATGAGGTCTTACAAATATGGGGCCTTACAAATAGCCAAGAAAAAGAAGTGGAAAGAGAAAAGAAAAAAGGGAGTGGAAAAGTGGAAAAGAGAAAAGGAAAGATATATCCAACTGAATGTAGAGTTCCAGAGAATAGCAAAGAGAGATGAGAAAGCCTTAAGTGAGCAACTCAAAGAAATAGAGGAAAATAATAGGATGGGAAAGACAAGCGATCTCTTCATGGAAATTGGAGATAGCAAGGAACATTTCATGCAAAGATAAGCACAACAAAAAGCAGAAGAGATAAAGAAGAGGTGGCAAGATCTTAATGACTCAGATAACCATGATGGTGTGGTCACTCACCTAGAGCCAGACATTCTGGAGCGTGAAAGTGTCAATTCACTGGAAAAGACCCCGAAGCTGGGAAAGATCCCGGGCAAGAAGAGAAGGGGGCAACAAAGGATAAAATGGTTGGACAGCATCACTGACTCAATGGACGTAGTTTGAACAAACTTCAGAAGATAGTAAAGGACAGGGAAGCCTGGCATGGTGCAGTCTGTGGGGTCACAAAAAGTTGGACACGACTTAGCAACTAAACAACATAAAGTGATTGGGAAGATTAAGTTAGTATCTTTACATAAATTGCTTAGAACGGTGCTTCATATATAATAAGTGTTATACAAGAGTTAGCTATTATCAATGAAACTGCTTAAGACATCTGCAACATCAAAGCTATTCAATCATTTATATTTCCATCAAAGAATAAATATATTTACAGTATACCAGGCAGTGTGTTAGATGATAAGGAGTCAAAGATGACAAGTATAGTCCCTTATATCCAAAGTTTCACACATTATTAGGGAGGACAAACATTTAAGCAACATCATAATATTAACAAATAAGGGTTCACAGTTGAATAAACTAAATAAAATTATTTTACTGAGGTTTGGACTAAGTACTGTTGAACTGCAGAGAAGATCAGAGAAGGCTTCCCAGAGAATAAGACTTTTAATTTTGAAGGATAAAAGTAGAAGCATAGATAAGGTGGAAAAGGGCATTCAAAATAGCTGTGATAAAGATCCCTGTCAATCAGTCCGACATGATTCAGCAACAAAACAACAACTTTAAGCCAAACATTTAAGAGTCTCCATACTCACTTCTACAGAAAAGATTAGAGAACTAAACTCAGACATTTCTATGATCTTCCACAACTTTACATGTTTCTCTGAATTATGACTGGAATAAAATATACCCAATTTTTCTCCATATGCTGTGCCCCAATGTTTAACTCTGCCTTACTCTTTTTTTTTTTAATGTATGATTTCAGGTGTTAATTTCCCCAAGCAAAACTGGGTACACTATTATCTGCATAAGCAATTGTTGGATTTGATCTAAAAGGTTTTTTAAGTTGTAAAAAAAGCAACTAAATTAATTTGTATAAAATAATTTAAATTCTGTATAAGACAAAATAGTATAACAACAACCTAGTTTACAGTCATAATTAGTATTATGATTTAATACTAATGATTAAATGATTTAATTGATTAGAATCAATTTATTCTGGGTTTCTTATCAATGATAAGAACAACTCCAAGCCAAATAACTCTATATAATAAATTACACTAAAAAACTTCAAAAATAATTGTAATGACTACTATTTACCCCAAGAACAGATATGACACATACCTGTGTCTGAAGGACGTAAAAAGTCTGTGTCACAGGTGAAAAAGGTCTGATGGTCCTGAGCTGACAAATTCATGTCATAGTATGTAAGTGGCTCTTTACCAGTCACCCAAGTGTATCTTTACCAAAACACAAGAAAATATGTAAATTGAATGTGAGAGAGCATCAGTCAGTTACAATAGACACTACTTAAAACTCAAAATTTACTACTACATTTTATTTAAGGACATTTCAAAAGCTTATTGTAATCAATAAAACAAAAGAGATAACCTACATAAACTACTTACAGTACAATAATAAAACATATAAAACCAAAAGGGAAAAGGCTAGATTATTCAACAAACAGTGCTTCAAATTGAATCTGAAGGGATAAAACAATTTGACTGCAACATATACCTCATTAAGTGTACTTAAATGCTCAGTGAATTAGAATTAAATATGAAAAGTAAAACTATAAAGAAGCTAGAAGAAAACACCCTAAAACCCTCAGGAATTAATAGCAGATAACAAGCTGACTAATAAATTAAAATAACTAATTTTTACTTTTCACCTATAAAATTGGCAAATATATGTCATCAAGAGTGAGGTGGGATATCAATTCACACGTATTCCTGTTATAAATTGGTATTTACATTTCTCTTTCCAGAAATCAATTATATAGTACCAAGAGTCTTAGTACCACAACTACTGAAGCCTGCATGCCTAGAGCCTATGCTCCACAACAAGAGAAGCTACGACAATGAACAGCCTGTGCGCCGCAAGGAAGAGTAGCCCCTACTTGCCACAATTAGAGAAAAGCCTGGATGCAGCTATGAAGATTCAGCGTAACCAAAATTAATTATTTTAAAAAGAGGCTTAAAAACATTCACACCTACTTAGAGGATGGGCAAATGGAATTCCATTTTGCCACTCTACTTTTGTTTATTTTTGAATTTTTTCAACTTTAAAAGAAGAAAAAATTCAAAGGGAAGAAAAAAACTGTTCACATTTTTTGATTCAGTAATCCTAGTGCTACAAATCAACCCTAAGAAAATAATCATATATGTGAATAAATATTTATATATAAAGATATCCTTCTAGAGTAAATGTTAACAGTGACCTATAATCTGTGATCTGGAGAGGGGAGCAGTAGGTAAGTTATATATGGTGCCTCTACAATAAAATATAGTACAACTGTTAAAATTCATGTTTTAAAGTAATTCTGTGGGAAATTCACATATGGTAAATTTCATATATTATGATGTTCAAGTTTTGTTTCTATATATGCCTATATAGAAGAGAGACTGGATGGAAACACTAATAGTAGTTATCTCTTCATGGGACAAAAAGGTGATTTTTTTACTTTCTTTCATACATCTCTTTATTTTCCAACTTTCTACAGTGAATAGGTATATATTTTGCAATCAGAAAAGGCATTTTAAAAGCACATTATATATACATGATCAAAGATTTTAAGTTATTTAATAAGTTGTCTTGCTATTTAAAGTTTTCAGCTATTTTGCAAGAAACTATCATGAAGAAAAAAGAAAAAGCAAGTCCTTGTTCACTTAGCAAAGTTTGGTACACATTCTAAAATCATAAAAAAATTTAACATTCTCTATTAATCCCAAAATGATTTGAAGCAGTTAAAAAATATATGTATAGTATCAATAACTCAGGGCTTCCCTGGTGGCTTAGCGGTAAAGAATCTACTTGTAGTGCAGGAGATGTGGATTCAATCCCTGGGTCAGGAAGATCCCCTGGAGAAGGAAATGGCAACCCACTCCCGTATTCTTCCCTGGGAAATCTCAGGGACAGAGGAGCCTGGCGGGCTACAGTCCATGGGATCACAAAAATCAGACACAACTTAGCAACTACACAACAAAACAACAAATCAATAACCTAAATTAGAAGCAAATTTTAAAAGACTCAATAAAGTAAAACGAGGATTGGGCCATAAAATGGCCCATAGCAAAGAGTTCTATAAACTTGCTAATGGTTGACTAAATACAAGTCTAAGCTTCCCAGAACCACACAATAATTACCAATGCATTTTAGACTTTCACATTAAGACAAACTAATCATTCAAACAGAAGCATTAAGAGTTCCTTATCCTGGGCTTCCCATGTGGCTCGCTGGTTAAGAATCTGCCTGCCAATGAAGGCATGGGTTCAATCCCTGATCCAGGAAGATCCCACATGCCCCAGAGCAATAAACCCTGTGTACCACAACAGTTGAGCCTTTGTTCTAGATCTCAGGAACCACAACTACTGAGCCAATGTGCCACAATTACTGAAGCTTGTGCACCTAGAGCCTGTGTTCCACAAGAGAAGCCATGACAATGAGAAGCTAGCACACCACAACTAGAGAAAAGCCCACACAGCAACAAAGACCCAGCACAGCCAAAAATAAATAAATAAGTAAAATTATAAAAAAGAGTTCCTTATACTAAGATAAGAAATTTCTCTTTAAGATTTTCATGAAATATATACTATAAGATAACAAGAATAACAGCCTAAAAGCTTTTTAATAAACAGTGAGAAGTTCAAGGACCTGTTTCTTGCAGAATCCCTTAATATAGGGCAATTGCATCTATCAGAAAAGGCTAGCTTTGACTTCCCAGTCAAAAGTGTAGTGACTGTCCTACACTATCAAGTACTTATGCACAAGGATTATTGCTTAATCATTTTGTATCCCCGTCCTTTTGTACAATGTCCACATACAGTAGACATAAACTATTTCTTGTTCAGTGAATTAAGTAACATACCCCATGCTATCCCCAGGTAAAACACAAGCCCCTTTCCAAACAAATAAAGTTATCTTTTTTCATAAGTTTCAACAGTTTTCTCATTTAGAGTAAGAACCAAAAGAGCAATGGACACAGTAGTGTAGCTAGGAAATGGCAATATAAAATGCTATATAAAAATAGCATACCCTGTACTATTGCACAAATGAAATTTATATTCAAATTCAGATTGATATTGTCTAGTAAACTGTCAAATAACTGTCAAACTTTAAATTGAGCACATATGCACAGGAATATACTGACATTTATAATTTTTCTTAACCTCATGAATTCTTTGAAAAGGCTTTCTGTCATAAACCAAGGAGCAAATGTACACTTATTATATATCACAAACATGGCTTGAAGCAATGTTTCTCATGATAAAAGTAAACATATTCAAGACGCAGAAAATTAAACTCTGGGCTAACCATTTTACCTCATTATATATCCGTAACTCCAACTAGAAGAGATATATCTGTAAAAATAATGTTTCCACAATACTTTTACTTTAAAACCAATGTCATAATTATACTGAAAGCAAAATGTAATACCTTCTATATTCTGCTCCTCTGAAAAGATTTAGAGGATTTCTCCACACTTTACATTCTAAAAAAAAGCAAAGAGAAAAAAGGGGGTATTAAGACAGTTTAATGTAGTTAAATACTAATTCAGCCAACATGCTAAGCACAATGCTGGCCACGTATAACACAAAGATGAATAAGGCATGGATCATCCCTGCTGTCACGCAGCATATAATCAAATCTAGTTATTCCCTTATTTCTGCCTCTGTAGCCTTTCGTCCACAATTGAAGTACAGCACTTACCATATTACAAAGTGACTATCTGTTTGGTTTTCAGTTTCTCCCTTTAAAATACCAGCTTTTAAAACTTTGCTCATTTTTGTATTTCTAGAACTTACCAAAGAATCTGAACTAACTTGTTTAAATGAATTACATGTGGCATGAGAATCAGTTATGTAAACTATCACCTAAACTGTGTGAAAAGTGCTATGGTAGAGAGATGTTTTGTTCTAAGAATAAAAAGGAAGTGATTAAGTTTGCTCTGGAGAAATAAGGGGAGACTTTAGAAAGGAGGTGACATTTAAACATTGTTTTTGTTGTTGTTTAGTCATTCGATGGACATGAGTCTGAGCAAGCTTCAGGAGTTGGTGATGGACAGGGAAGCCTGGCGTGCTGCAGTCCATGGGGTCACAAAGAGTTGGATATGACTGAGCGACTGAACTGAACTTAGTCACTAAGTCATGTCTGACTCCTTGAAACCTCATGGACTGCAGTGCGCCAGGCTTTAAACTTGAATCCTTTAAACTTGAACCACTGTAAAAAAGGAGTAGAAGGTTGCCAAATGAAGAACATTCTAAACAGAAGTAGTATTAAAAAACCACACAGCATAGTTCAATTAGAGTACATGGTGGAAGATTAAAGTGCACGGTAGAAGGTGAGAGGGCTTCCCTGATGGCTCAGATGGTAAAGAACCTGCCTGCGATGTGGGAGACCTGAGTTCAGTCCCTGGGTTGGGAAGATCCCCTGGAGAATGGAAAGCCAACCCACTTCGGTAGTCTTGCCTGGAGAATTTCATGGACAGAGAAGCCTGGCAGGCTATAGTCCACGGGTTGCAAAGAGTCGGAGATGACTAACACCTAAGAAGGTGAGGAGAGCTGTAAATGAGGCTACAGAACAGACTGGGGGAAACTGATGAAGGAGCTTATATACTACATAAAGAGCTTAGATATTATTCTTAGTAAGAAGCCATGAAATGTTTATAAATAGAAAGATAACAAATATCAGGTCTTTGTTTAGATCAGTAGTTGTCAAACTACCATTCATGGAACTGCAAAGTAACAACACATTCCATAATAAATGAGAAGGCATTATTTGCCTTTTTAACTTTTTGAGTGAGTGAAGTCGCTCAGTCAACGTCCGACTCTTCTCAATCTTCCCAACCAAGGGACTGAACCCAGGTCTCCCGCGTTGTAGGTAGACGCTTCACCGTCTGAGACACCCTGAGAGTGAGGGCATCCTTAAATTTTGTGCCCCAAGCATCTGACTTGCCTCACACTAGTGCCAGTCCTGCAAAGTTGGGCTGATGGTACAAAACCAATGGTTTGTAAAACTGCGGGTATTTTAAACTAGTAGTCATTGGATTCCTCACCCCTAATCTAGTAAACAGGCAACCAAATATGAAAGTTGTCTTCAATATAAGCAATTGTTTTTTGAGCTGAACTTTTTTTTTCCATGGAGTATCACTTTTATCTGAAAGAATCACCAAAAGACAAATTTATAATTATTCAGATAAATACCTGGCAGACATTTTTCTCAATGGTGAACAAAGTAGGTCTGTCAAATTCAAGGAAGAAAAAAACAGTACTTGCTGCTGATGACAGAATTTGAACTTTCAAGTACAATCAGAATTTTTAAAAACTTATATTAGTTACCATGAACTTGACAATTTCCCAATACTTACAGGCTTTTCTGTGAAATTAGTGGTGATATTAATAAATCTCATTTTAAAAAACTAACAATGTATCAATATTTGGAAGACATGCCTAACTCAGTGAATGAGTATTTTCTAAATGAACAATGAAAGACCCATTCAAAATGGGACACCAAGGGATTTTAATGTAACAGAACATGAAGAGTTAATTGGTATAGCATCAGATTTCATACTGCAACTAAACTTTAAGAAAGTATCTAAAACAAAAAAAGTATCTCTCAGTAAATTTTGCTGTTGTATTAAAAAAGAATATCCACAACTTTCTGAAAAGGTTATTAAACTATTCTTCCCTTTTCCAACTACACATCTCTGTGAGAACAGATTTTCTTCACAGATGTCAACCAGAACAACATTTCACAACAGGCAATGCCAGAAGCAGATATGAGAATAAGCTATTTTTCTTTATTAAGCTAGATAATAAAGAGATTTAAATGAATGTAAAGCAATGACAGTCTTCTGATTAAAATTTCCTATTTGGGGAAATATAATTATTTTTCATGATACGTGTCTTAGCTCAGGCTGCCATAACTAAATACCATAGATTGGGCATAGTTATATTAGAGGTTAGAGCTTCAACACATGAATTTGAGGTGGAGGAGAGATACAGTTCAGTTCATAGAAATATGTTAACATGCAATGGGTTTCTGTTATTTTTAAAACAATTGATAAATATTGTTTAAATTTGTTTCAATTTCTAATATGATAAATACTGGGCATATAATCAATATTTAAACAAAAGCTCTGTGAGGTACTCAATGATTTTGAAGAGTATAAAGATTCCTGGATCTAAAAAGTTTGAGAACCACTTTCTTATAGTAAAGGGAGAAAATGTGCTAAAAGGAGAAGTATCATAGGCAAGGAAACTAGTTAGGATGCACAGCAATAATCCAGGAAAGAGATATCTAAGGCCCAGATATGGGGCAATGAATGCTGAACTAAAAGAAGGCAGAGCAGAGTCCAGGTAATTTTTGAGGGGAAAACAATGAGTCTGGAGAAGGAAGGGGAAATAAAAGAGATATTATCTAAAACAACTCAAAGATTTCTCTTATGGAAACTAATAAATTTTAGGATTATGGAGAGTATCTATTGAAAGAAGATAATTAGCAGCTTCACTTTGGACTGTAAGCTTAGGATTGCTGAGGGCCATCAAAGGTGAAGATTTCTAGCAGAGTTAGAAATGTGGGTCTAGAACATAAAAGCTTGAGGGCAGAAATTTAAAATTGGCTCTCCCAATATATAAGTCTATGGATGACAATATTATAGAATAAGATGCAGATACCTAGGGAGAGAAAGTGGAACCAAAGAACTTTGACTCAATCTCACAATAGGGTATAAGACTATATAATGCATTATTGTTATAATTATTTACAACTGGACTGTGAGCTTCCTGATGAAGATCTATGTTATATTCATTTTAACATGACTTATTCTTGAGAACTTGTTTGGAGGTTCTAGCAGGGGAGCACAGCTACTCGTATACCCTTGAGCAAAGACTGACTGGTCCTTCTTTCTTGGGGATGGTCATACTCCTCCACCGAGCACGCAGCTTTGGAAGGGATGCACATGGAGTGGTTAGGAAGAAAGGGGACACCTGCCTAGCTAGCCAGATAAGCCGAATCAACCCTGATGATCAATGGGGTGACAGATGATGCAGCCAGATCGCCCTCACATCCAATATGCCTTATTCTTAAGAGTTCTATAATTATTTTATGAAAGGGGAGAAAGGAGAAGAGGAAAGAAAATTACCATTATTCCTTCCCATACTTCCTGAATGGCTGTCAACCCCATCCCTACTAATCCTGGTCAACTCCCACTCAAGCTTTATGGCTCAGTTTAAATGGTTCTTTCTCAGAGAACTTCCCTGACCACACATAAAAAGTGCCATCAATTTCACTCAGGTAGTATTCTTCTACTAACCTAATATAAATTTCAAGTTTAGTTTACTGAACAAATGAGACATTATGGCATTCTACAGAATTAACTCATTTGTATTATTATTGTATGATTATAACCTACACCAAATGAAAGTGAAAGTGAAGCCACTCAGTCCTGTCCAACTCTCTGAGACCCCATGGACTGCAGCCCACCAGGCTCCTCTGTCCATGAGATTTTCGTACCAAATGAAAGGAACAATAATCCAAAAATGTCATTTCTATTTGGCTTCAAAGATTTTACTTTCCTAATTGTATAATTACCAGATACATATAGAAGAATGGCCTACAATTTAAGTATGACAACAGAATATTCATACATTGACAACAGATTTTGATGTCTTTGTAAATATACTGACAAGAAAAAATATTTTTCCTAACTTTGCTCTCTTGGCAGAGATGGCTAATTGTCTCTGTTCTCTCCTTTATCAGTAATAAGATCCCCTTTTCACCCGGGCACATGTACATTGAGAAAATGATTACAATTTCTAACCTCCCTTACAGCTAGTTCTAACCATTTGATAAAGATCTGACCAGTAGAAAGTAAGTCAAAATAGTATGTAACGCTTCTGCGAAGTATCCTTGACTGCTGTGGGGAAAGTGTCTTTCTCCTGGCCTATTCTCCTTCCAGCTGACTAGAATGTGGGCATGATGGCTGCACCCAGAGCAACTGTCTTGGAACACAAGGAAAAACTGCACAGGAGATGGCAGGCTAATAAAACAGAAGGAGTCAAAAAAAAAAAAAAAAATAGAAGGAGTCTAGGTCTCTGACAATCATTGCTCTCCATATCAGCCATTAAATCTGTATTTAAAGGAAAGACAAACTTCTATTGTTAAATGTTTTCTATCTGCCACAGTCAAACACAATCTTAACTATACAGCTCTGAAAACATTTCATTTCACCTGACAAATTCTGCCTGCTGGTTTCGCTTTCTCTGTTGTTGGAAGAAGAACCTGGCTCTGAAATGCTGCTTTCTGTTCCTCCCATCAGTGGTCGCAAATGGCTTACAGAAACTTGCTCAATAAAAGATGTGCCATGCTTATGAAAGTACCACCATTCAAATATCTGTGACAAAGAGAAAACATCTTTCATTTGAAACAGAACTGATCAGCAGATATGAGTTCAAATCAAAACATTCTCTCAAGATGTTCCTGTTTAATTCAGTCTTTTAAATGTACTTTCCTTCCAAAAAACAAGCCAAACACAAGATTCCCTGATAACACATATCAAGCCGAGGTAAATGCCTTTTTATAGCTTTGTCATAAAATTCAGACAAGCTTAGGCAACACTAGAAGAAATATGTCTGTAAATAAAGCATTTAAAAAACAATAAGTATTTAAGCTATAAATAATATGTTACGTTACAATGTCATTTTAGTCTATCTGTAGTGCAATTAAAAGAAAAATAATTTTGAAACAACTAGTATGATGTGCTTAACCACTACACTAGGGTTAGAATGCCCACACTGACTCCCAATTCAGCCATACTTTACCTGTGTGTTTTGTGTAAGTCACTTAAATTCTCAGAGCCTCAATGCCCTATTGAACAAATATGGTTGACAAGAATTAGAAGTTCTTCTGAACAATAAAGTACTAATCCAGTATTTGGCAGTACTGTTAATGTAGGTTAAGAGTCAGGTTGATTCCCATACTGAACCATTCAAAAATCAGGATATTCCTTTCTTTCTGTTTCCATGGTTTATCACTGTTGTAAGAGGAAATCAAAAGCCGCCCTCTGTGCTGAATTAGCAGAGTGTTTCATATTTGGATACTCTGGCCTTTTCAGCTCCCTTTGCTGGCTTCTCTGGGTGTGAGCTTAAACGACATATCCGAAGGGAATTTTTCCTGATTCCACAGAATGAAAAACTATTTTATGTACTCCCATAGGCTCTTTTTTTCCTTTCAAAATAAACTTTGTACTCATAATAACTAAACAACTGGCTTTGCTGCTATTCTTCAAGCTCCCAAGCACACAACCTCTTCAGGTAGAAATAACACAGCACAACTAGCTTCCTCATTTCAGGTGGTAAAAGAAATTATAAATAAACTCTGCTAATAAAAACTCATCAATAGTTCAAGGGTAATGACACAGTTCAACCTTTAAAATGTTACTTGAATTCCTAATTTTTATAAATTTAAAACTCTGATTTGAAAAAAGCAACAAATTTTAAAAACTGTTTTACGTATTATGTTATGAATCAATATTATGTGTGTGTGTGTGTGTGTGTGTGTGTGTGTGTGTGTAAGTTTTCTCCCCTCCTTATAAACAAGAAAATTAGGACTCAATTCATGTTACTTGCCCAAATGGCAGAGTCAAGACTCAAAACTTCATCTGCTGGTTGCAAGAGCAATGCTTTTTCCACTATATTAGCTGTTTAAAGATAGTTTATCTCCTTTATTTAGATTTTTATCAATTCAGTTCAGTCACTCAGTCGTGTCCAACTCTTTTTGACCCCATGGACTGCAGCATGCCAGGCCTCCCAATCCATCAGCAACTCCCAGAGTTTACTAAAACTCATGTCCATTGCGTCTGTGATGTCATCCAACCATTTCATCCTCTGTCATCCCCTTCTCCTCCCGCCTTCAATCTTTCCCAGCATCAGGGTCTTTTCAAATGAGTCAGTTCTTCGCATCAGGTGGCCAAAGTATTGGCGTTTCAGCTTCAACATCAGTCCTTCCAATAAATATTCAGGACTGATTTCTTTTAGGATAGACTGGTTAGATCTCCTTGCAGTCTATTCTATGGCAAAATATGCTAAACTATGAAAAGGATTTATAAATCAATAAATTTTTAGGCTTTTAAAAACAGAGTTTTCAATAAAAAATTTAAAAAATAAAAATAAAAACAGAGTTTTCATCCAGAATTCCTCAACAATTTTTTTTAAGTCGAGAGCAAAGTCTTTTTCATCTGGCATTTCTCTTTAACAAAATGGTCAAGTGTCTCTATAGGAAAAAAAAAAAAACACAACTCCAATACAAATGTTATTATTTTTACATTTCTACTATAGTTACAGAGCACCACCTAGAGATGAGAAAAAATTCAGAAAAATTTCATTCGCCATGCATGCTATAATACTTCCTAAGATTTTTATCTGTAGCAGTATTTTTTCCAAAGTTTATACTAGGAAACACTGGCTCCTAGGGATATTAATAAAGATTACAAACTTTTAAAAAATCTTTTTAAATTAAAAATGATAGCATGGTTAAATGAAGCAAGAGAAAACTGAATTAAACAGGTTTCTTTTTTGTGTAAGTTCTTAGAATAACATGGCCAAAATTCAACAAGTGCTACTATGTTGTTGCAAGTTTCCACACACATTATCTCAGTTAATCCTCATAACTATGAAACTGATACTATTTTTTCTTTTTTTTGCCAAGTCAGGCAGCTCATGGGATCTTAAGGTTCTGGACCAGGGATCCAACAGGGCCTTCAGCAGTCAAACCAGGGAGCCCTAAACCAATGGACCACCAGGGAATTACCAAGGTGATACTGTTATAATCCCTAGTGTACAGATGAGGAAATTGGAGCTTTAGAAAAGTTAATTCATTTGCTCAAAGTCACACAACTAAAGTGATGGTTAGTCTACTCTACTCTTAAACACTCTAGAGAGGTAAACGGCAGGTAGACTATAAGCCCAATTCAAGACACATAAATTTTTGGTCTGCTCAATGTTGCCAGCACTAAAGTACTGGAAGACTTAAGATAAAAACTTTATATCCAGGTTCTCTTGAAATCATTTGAAAAAATTGGAAGTTCTAGTAATACTGGTCTGCAAATCTACATGGCAACAATTATCTTTAGCCTTCTCTAGAAGGAACATAGCCTTTTCTAGAAGGAACATGTACTGTCCAGATTATCCAGTCTTCAAAGTAAATAAAAATGTTATTTTTTACACTCTGCCCATTTTACTCATTTTTGTTACTAAGCCAAGCTTACGAGCACTTAGTTGGGGAACTCACCTCCCACTACACTCCCCACGACATACACTCTATTATATGCAAATGATACTACCAATCTCTAAAAGTAGCGAGGAAGTTGCAGTGTTTTTTAAAATGCTTTTTCACATTTTAAGAATGCTAATCTATAAGTATTTATAATTATTATAATAATTTAAAGAGATTTGATTTTTAGATAAACACCAAAGCATGAAGGAAATGGAAACTACTTACAAATATTAGTCCTGATATCAAAGAAGACGTCCCTGTAAGTGCCACATAGAATTTGGGTGTCAATGAATTTAAAAATACCGTCACTGCCAAAAAGAAAAAAACAAATCAAATTTTAAAAGTACTGAAGTTACAAATATGTAGGTGTCTTTATGAGTGAAAGAACATAAGTAGATTAATATCTAGTATGAGATTCATTTGAGAAAGTTGTAATTTTTTAAAAAGCTACTTTGCATTCTCATTGTATCATATTTTAAAAATGCCTCCACACATGTAAGGAGATCATTTAGCTTGCTGTTGAGAATAAAACCAAGAACATCATAATTTAGACAAGAACTTTTGCAGTTCCATCACATATATTACCAAGGCCGATTAAAACTATTTCCTAATTATTTTGGTGAGATCCAAACCAGTGTTTCAAGTTAGAAGGAAGGAAATAGTGTATGTATTTGATAGGTCACCGAGAGAGGCAAAATAGCCCAAAGAGAACAGCAAACTAAGTGCTTCCTATATTTGATTCACTGAAAACCTGGATCAGACTCTTCACTTCAAATAACAGTCTCATAAATAGTTTGGGTTTTAGAAAGAAATAAAAATCTGTAAAGTCATTGACTCTCATCTGAATGGCATAGTTAATATATATATGTAAAAAAAAGATAAACTCAATGAGTAACATTTCACTGAGCATACAAACCACTAGTAAGCACTTCATTAACCTGTAACAGAAACACCAAATTAGCTTTTTCAAACAGTATAGGAAGGTCAATTCATCTAGCTTGTTTTAGTGTGTTAGTTGTATCTGGATTTACATACTCAGTTCTTAAAAAGCCCAAAGTATTTCAGAACATTATCTCAATCTTTCATGTTATCTCACAGAATAGAAAACGGAACACTTGCCTTCTCTTTCTACAGAAAAATAAAACAGCACTGACAGTCAAAATCGTCACCCAACAGAAATACTTCCATTTTAATCTGAGGTTGCCGATTTGTAATGAAATAGCAAGAGGCCCTGGCTTCCATCCACTCTGACCCCGCTACAGCTAAAGAATATTTGCAGAATCTAAGGGATCGTCACCTCGTAGATGTCTTTGGGTCTTCAGCCCACACTACACAGCAAGCTCTCTACGAATGTTGAAAGAACGAACTAAGGAAAGTACCCACTACTGTTTGTGGCTCTCTTTCTCTTTACTTCCTGTACTGTTCTATTGTATGACTCAAGATAAAGCCTAAAACAGAGAACGGACAAAAATATAGGAAACTGTTTCTTGACAAAGCTATTTTAAAACATGAGAATAGTTGGCAAAGATCGTGGTGTTTTCTCTTAGATGTTTTGTTGTTTCAGTGTGGGTTCTCTCAGCTGAGTGGCGGGAGACTCAAAGGGTGTGTATAAATTCTGCATCCAGTTCTGAAATTGCTCTCATCGGCCCTATCACCTGAAGCTTACAGCTTGTCAGGTGGTTTCTCTTAGGGCGCAAGAGGGCACACGAGAGAGGGCGGATCTTAAGAGTTCGGGGAGGAGCCGGCGGCTGCAGCTCAAGTTTGACAATCAGCTGCGGCCTCAGAGAAAAAGAATCCACTCGGTCGCTTAAACGAACTCATTCTCCGAGGCCCTCCAGTAATAAGGAAATCTCTGCCCTTTGGCCTTTGCCCCCGGCACCCCTAACTGCCCCCTACCCCGCACCGCCGCCCGTCCCCGGGGAGCTCTGGGCCTCTCACCCGCTGCCAAATTCTCACACAGCCTCAGCGGGACCCTCAGAGCGTAAAGCAGCCCCAGACCCGCCACGAACCACAGTGAGGCCCCAATGCCCGCCAGACCAGCCCGCAGCCGCTCCCTCCAGCCCAGCGGCAGGTTTAGGCCGGGAACAGGGGCAGAAGGAGACGCCGCAGCAGTCGCTGCTTCACCTAAGCCGTCACTGTCCGCCATCTTGCCGCTCCCGCTGGCGCCGGGAGTTGGGAGGGGAGAAAGGCTAGAAAGCGGGAGTCGGGAATCCTGGGATAGTGGCAGACTTAAAGTTGGCCTCCGTGAAAACTGATAGTCCCAGGGAACGGGGACGGAGATCTGGAAAGTGGAGGAGCGCCCCAGGACTGAGCTACCTATTCCTTCCGAAGGAGGGAAAGGGCAGATGGCGGCACCTGTTCTGGAGGAACTGAACTCTGACCCCGGAGTGAAGTGTTTTAGCCTCCAGACGAGTTAGGGTCGCCTTCCACCCCATTCCTAGGATTAAAAAGCCACCAACCGTTCCAGAGTCCGAGCAGCACTACGGCCTTTGGGCTCGGCTGTTATGGAGAGCACTGGTACTGGGAAAATCTACAGGAGTAGCGACAGCAATTTGGTCGGCTGGAGCTCGGGCGCCAATACCAGTCGAAAAACTCTCCCAACGTCCCATAGATGAATAGGGAAATGGCTGGAGCCCGGGCGCCAATACCAGTCGAAACACGCTCCCAATGTCCCAAAAATGAGTGGGGAAATGAATGTAACTCAGTGAGAAAGATATTAGATTTAAAGTTAGCCTACTTCCTTGGGCGCCGAGACCCGGGGCCATCACCCCCGCCCGTAACTGACATGGCGCTCTCGCGGTCGGCGTTTCCGGGCGGGTCCTTCCGACGGCCCTCACTGTGATTCCATCATTCGGCTTTCTTCCCGGCCTCCCTCGCGCCAGGGCCGGGCTGGGCCAGAGCAGCCCAAGATGGCCGACTTCGAGGATCGGGTGTCGGATGAGGAGAAGGTAAGGGGTTCGCCTCTCTCTCTTGCCTCTTCCCGGGACAGGGAAGGGAGGCCCGACCTGACTGCGGTGGGAACCCCGGCAGTGCCCCCAGGAGAAGGAAGCTTCTCGGCCTGTGCCGGCATACGGTCTCCGCAGTCGGGACGCTTCGCTGCCCTCTTGAGGGGCTTTCCTCTGCCTCACGGTGGCCCCAGTTCCCCATTCCTCAACTCTCTTTTACTCTTGGGCCTGAGGCACTACCCAGTGGTCTTCCTGCGAAAGAAGAGACCTTCCGTTATTGAATTGTGACTGTGGACCCATTTTGTATTTGAGAAAGGGGGCGATGATGATGTCGTGACGAATCAAGAAGCAATTATTTTACCGCCTTTAGCTGTCGGGGCTCACCCCATCCCCCCATTTTTAGATATGATTGGGGCTAGTTTAGGGCGAGTCACTTCCTGGTCAGGGTGGCCTCTTAACTTCCCTTTTGCTCCTCCTTCCTCAGGAAGTGATTTTGGTGTCACGACTCCTCGACAGGGAGAGGTCTTTAATGTCTTGGCCGCCTATCCTCCTACACCTCTTTTCCCACATACTACCGGCTAAACGAACTCGCGATAATAAATGTGTGAGCCTCAGGGAGATTGGCTTCAGAATCTGAACACGCTTTTCTCTGTAACACTCCTTCGACTGTTTGTATACGGCCCCCTCGGTGACTCTGTCCCTTAGGTCTTACAGCCTTTCAACAATAATTTTTGAAAAACAGTTTTCCATTTTTTCCTTAAGATTAGCCAACGAATTCTTTCTTTTTTAACTCCAGAAAGGTTTTCTGTCGCACATAAACTTAATGTTAACATATGCAAGTCTGGACAAAGCTTCCTGCCTTCTTTGGTGCTCCACTGTGATGTCTCTGATTATAGTTGAACTTGTCAGTGTGTAATTTGTATGCTTATTTCTTTAAAAGTGTCTTAAGTACAAGAGAATATTCCACCTTAGGTGGAATAATTTTTTTCCTGACAACTGCAAATTTTTATAAGTTTGTCAGGCTTTTCAGTAAATAGGTTAAAGATTTTAGAACTTGAGAACATTACAGTGATTTCACAACATGATTCATAGTAGGACAAGGAATTATGTCTTGTTTCCCACAGTGACTCTTACAAAATGTACACCTCTGAATGCTCTGTTAATGTATTTGGGGTTTCTTGGACTGTTTATGATCCAAGAGTCCTCTGTATGGAATAACTTGGTATATCATATAAGCCATGCCATTTTGAAATGCTGAAGAAAGCGCTGAACATTCACAAGCCATTGAACAACACTTCAGAATTAGATTTTCTCTTACTTGGAAATTGATTCTCGTAAATGTATAAGATTTAGCGGGGCAAGGGCATTTTATACTGTATGTGAACTTATGCTAGAGAGAAAACTATTAATATAATAAAGTGTTTATTCTAAAGGCAAAAAGTTATAATTAAGATGAAGTTAAATTATAATGAAAATCATGGGATAGCAAAACATTTGTTAGCCCAACTGATGGTCCACTTAAGCAAAATTTCACTAGGAATTTAAGATGATAAACTTTGAAGTTTACCAGTGTTGGGTTTTTTTTTTTGACACAGGATTAGAATGCCCCCCCTTTTTTTTTAGAATGCCTTTTTAATTGAACTTAGAGGAGAAATACATACTTCAAAGTGTAAATTAAGATGTCTCTGGATATTGACAGTGTTGAAATTAGTAACATTAAAAAAATAGCCTCAATTTTATAGCAGCAGATCTGTGACCAGTTTTCTCTTATCTCCCAGCATACTTCTTTTGCTAATTTTAATAATGACATAGCAAGCAAATCATAATTAGTAAGGTAAATCTGCCCCAAAAATGTTGATGAATTTTATATTCAGTAAACAGGTTTTAGGTTAGCTGCATTGTCTTCATTAGAGTAGGTAATTAAGAATAGCTGATATTTTTAAAAATCTCATGTAATAAATCCATATGACTGAGATTACTGAAATTTTGTTAGATTTTTTATTCCTAGAGATGAACTGATAGGTATTTCTCTGTTGTGGATCAGTAGATAAAAATAAAGGGCTTTGACTTGAAAGATTACTTCCATTTTCCTTCAACGTTATATTTGACCTCTTTTTCTCAAGGCTTCTGATGCCTTTTAACTGAATTCATGAACTGAAAAAGTATTTTTCTGAAAAGACTTGTTGATATGAATACATTAGCATTCATAAACAAAAAGTTACCTTTAAGCAAGATGCTTGTACAAAACTTTCACAACCAAGGCACTATTACAAAAAAGATATTTTCAGCCTTAGTTTCTGTATTGATTCTTCCTTGAGGGTGCTGTATAGTTTTCATTTTTTTCTTTTTTTAACTAAGATCTCAACTGCATTTGATTTTATTTTTTGTAGCACACGTGTGTCATGATGCCAAATATATTTTAATACTGCCTTTTATCTTTGTTACACTTTCTGAAAACAGTGAGCCCAGAGGTGAATTTGGTGGTGATGGCCTCAGATGTCCTTGCAAATGTTTCTGTAAAAGCTAGTAAGATCAACCATTCTCATAACTAACTGCTGAAGTTTTTGTCACTTTATAAAGAGGAAGTTGGGTTTTTTAACTTCTGCATTGTTACCTGAAATGGTCATGATGAGCTGCCTAAATAAAACAGGAAGTTGAAAGTGTAATAACTTGCAAAAATAAATACTTTTAGTTGTATCCTAGAGTTCAGTTTCTGAGAATGAGCTCTACTTATCTAGTACTTAGAGTCTTCGGTTACATGGCTCCAAATGCTTTACAAGACCAAAATGAAAAGATGCCATAATTAGGAAATTTAAGGTATGAGATAAACTACTTGTTTGGATTCTTTTGCACCGACTGTTTCCTTTATTTCATAATTCAACATTTTAAACACATAAATGCACACAGAATTTTAGGATTGAAAAAAGTGCCACTGGTACATTTTTTTCCTTCAACCTAACAAGTGTAATATTTGTGTACAGCTTCAAAAGTACCATAACTGAAAATTGGATCTCTATGCTTTAAGTTTAGATAAAACCGTTTTTAAGACACTTCTTGAGAAATGGGTTTATCAAAATTATATAGGAGAGGTGTGGAAAATGTTGTAAATAGACGCTGAAATTTGAAGGCTTTGTTAGAGGTCATGAAGATATTTATACTTGTGGATTTCCTTGATTATGTGTTACCTCCTTAATTTACTAGGTGAGTTATTACTCTTATAAAGTAAACCCTGAAGCTTAATGGCCATGGCTATTTTGTAACAAGTCATTCATTAGAATTAATACTATACTTTTTAAATCTTCTGTTGGGTTTGCTGAGTAGTATTCATATAATCTGTTACAAAATCTTGGACAGGAGCACAAAGCCTAAGCAGGTACAAATTCAGGCGCTCATTTCTGGTGAAGAGTGTAGGTTTATTATAATTTCTTGAAGAACATCTAGCTGTTTTATTAGGACCAGCCTTAAAACTAAGCAGAGCATTTGTCAAAAAATTCAGACCCCAGGTTAGTCTGATTCAGAAGCCTTGCTTTTTTCACTGTACTATTTTTAACATATCCATGAATGAAAAAAATCAGAGTAATTCATTTAATGAATTATATTAGATTCTTTTTTTGTAGGGGGGGGGGTGGGGAGGTGTGTGTCCTGGGTCTTTGTTGCAGCACATAGCCTTCTCTAGTTGTGGCACAGAGGTTTAGTTGCCCTGCAGCATGTGGGATCTTAGTTCCCCAACCAGGGATCAAACCTGAGTCCCCTGCATTGGAAGGCAGATCCTTAACCACTGGACTACCAGGAAAGTCACCTATTTAATGAATTATAAATGAGATATTGTGGGGTAGTGGGAAAGAAAAAGCCTCAGGATATTTGGTCTCTTCTTGCTGTGCTGTTTGCTACCAGTGTGATTTTGGAAAAATCACTTGTCTCTGAGCCTTGAAAGTTTTCTTCTAAAATAAATGGACCTCGAAAGTTTTCTTTTAATATAGGTAAGGGGAATTGGATCAAACTGATTGAACAAAGTTTAATGAACGTTTTCAAACTCTTAAAAAAAAAACTCTTTTAAAAACTGAAATGTTAAAATGTTCCAGGAGTTTCTGTTATTATCTGCTTTGGCACATTTGCCCTGATAACAAAGCTATGAAATCCTTGGTTACTGCAAGGATTTATCTAGTGCCTAGCAGAGTACCAGGTACATAGTGTAGGCCCAAGCTATTGGTATGAAAGACACCAATCAGTCACAGCTTCATTCATTTTTGTAGTTCCCCAGCTCATGATCCCTCATTCCCCTTCCCCAATCATTTCTGGTAATCTGTAGGTATTTCTTGTGTTCAGGAATATGTCCACACCATGGGTGCCTCTTTGAGTATACATAGTGTCTAAGCATCTACTGCCATTACTGGTGCTCTGTCATGGCACTGCTAAGAATCTTTGATCCCCCTGGGAACATTTCCCTAGTAAATTCAATAAAGTTTTGAAGCCTTATTGCACATCAAAATTAGTGTCTATACAGTTGTCCCTAGGTATCTATGGAGGAGTGGTTTCAGGGACCCCCCCACCCCATGCCAAAATCTGCAGATGTTCAAGTCCCTTATATATGAAGTAGTACGGTTAGTTCTCTGTTTCTACACTCATGGATACAGAGGGCTGACTATGTATACCTTGCAAAACCCCTAATAAAAGTATTTCCTTCATAAGTCCTTTCCTTTAGAGCTCAGAAAAACACATAGGATCAGGTGTCATTACTCTTGTCTGTCTCAAGTGCACGAATTACTTCATCTTTTTGTGAAAAAAAAAAAAAATTAAAGTCCTTATGTAGAGTGATTCCTGAAAGTAAAAACCTTGGACAGGGGAAACTAGTCAGGATAATTTTTTGATAAGCCAGTTTTACTACTTGGGGATTTCTGAACTAGGTGATGATTTGAATATATACTTGCCGTTATTTCCCCTTCTCCCTTTATCAGAACCTCCTGCCAACCTCTGCATTTCTGTTCTTTCCACCATTATTCTCG